GAAGCATTTAGCACCCTCGCGAACCGATGTTAAATGTGGCAAGAAAGGGGGGGCGCGTGGAAAGCATTTAGCACCCTCGCGCCAGCCACCGCAGTGCCAAACGCGGCGATGGCCTCCTGTAGCACACGCGGTGGACTGACGTAGACCGTGTCGATGGACCCAAACGGCCCGAGGTACGATGTCAAAAGAATGGAGTTGGCACTCCACGGAAGTGCTGGAAGCATCTTCTCCGTCACCAGCACATCTTGAATCGACGCATTGCGATAGGCAAATCGACTGCTCGACCGAAGAAGACTCTTGCCCCCCATGATCGATGTGTTCTTGACGAGAGTGCCGAGGTCGTTGGCCAGAGACCAGTACATTTTGAACGACGTCTGGCTCCCCAAACGGCGGTAGCCCGCAGTCGACTGCAGCGTGAAAGGATACGAGATGCCGTAGGCATTGACAATGTTGTACGAGTTGACGAGACCGATTGACTTGTAGTTTTGCCACTGCAGCACGTACGACGAGACACTTCTCGACGTCCAATAAGACACTTCGTCGTCGATCGAGAGGTACGGTGGGCTAAATGAAGCCAATAAAGCTTGGCCTGCCTTGGATTCACGCAACTCGGACGCAAACCCAATCTCAAACGACTCACTCCAGCACGTTGATATATCAACATTTCGGAGCAGAGAAGCGAGAAAGACGGCGCCGTTACTGACCATCGACTGGCATCGCTCTTGGCGCTTGATCGAGTTGGCCATTTCCCACTTTTGATCCAAGTCGAGGTAGCAATACTGCGTGAAAACCCACGGACCGTCACAGCTTTGAACATCTCGAAGCCCTGAGATCGTATCCGAGAGTGTGGTCAGGGTTGAGTACTGGACCCTCGCGCCTTGCTGGATGGGAAACGCGACGGACGCTTGCGAGAGGTTGAACAGCTCGAGAGCGTTGATTTGCTGGTGGTTGGTGAGTGCTATCGCCGACGTTTCAGCACCCTGTACATGCGCCGGCTCGTTGAACCAGTTGGCGAGAAAGCTGTGCGACCCCGTCATGTTGAAGGCGGGCCAGATCAAGTCGTTGGTCAAGATCCCTTGGGCGAGTCCGAGGTACGAGACACTGCTGTAGATCGCTGCAGCGACGTAGACAGTGCCAATGATAACCCAGACCCGCGGCCCCCAGCGCGTCCGTATCACCGATGGATCGGGCTCGATGGGCGCGACCATCGCTGCTGTTGGAGACGCAAAGTGGAGGCGCCAGAGCTTGAGATCAAACCACATAGATCCACGAAGCGGAATGAGACCAGATGCGAGTCGGCCGACCAAATCGAGTTCAGAATCTCGGTCCAAAAACGCTTGTCCGACGACCGAGAGCATCGAACTTGTGCGATCTTGCTTGGTCTTTCGAGACGTGGGACGAGCCGCAATGTAATCCAAAAACCACAGCGACGGGACGATCAAACACTGGAGCAGTCCAATGACTCGGAGCCGCGATAGCTCGCCTGTCAGCAATGTGACGCTGTTGCATCGGACGTTGTAGTAACTGTTGCTAATGGTACACTTGCGATCGATCGTTGCTGTCACAGAGACGGGCCAGCCAACGTCCATGATCACCAGGAATAGCCACGTCAGCGACGTCCCAACAAGCCCGATCGACCGCGCGCGGTGGCTCTGCAATGGCAAGAGTAACTCGTGC